AATGATGGCGATGATATATTCTAATATTTGGAGACCAGATATACTGTTTTTAAAAGAAAATGGGAAATTCTCACCAATCACTCGTCTGTAGGGGATAGGATTTCTGTTATCTATGCTTTTTCTCTCCTTTGTCCTTGAAACCAGGAAACAAATACAGGACTTGCTAGCTCAGGAGAGGGGTACAAACTACATCCACAAAACCTTGCTAGCTAGTGGCCTGTTTACGAATCAGCCTCTGACAACCTTGGTCTCACTGTCAGAGCCTCCTACCAACTGAGGTCGGTTGCCCTGTTTTGAAAAATTGTAGTATGTTTGCCTAAGACAGTCCAGAGCATTTGGCTCTGCTTGTCAGTATTAATTATTTTTGCTCTATCTATCCTGCTTGCTTGATTTTTCTTATTATTGAGTTATACACAGTGAGATGTACAGTCTTCAATGTAGAATTCAGTTTTGACACATGTGTATATTCTTGTAATCCACATCCCTTTCCATTTTATTTAAAAAATCCTAGAATCCTCTTAAGTGGTGAACATTTGGGTCCAATGGCAGATTTCTGGAAAGGAATCCCCTGTTAAGTCCACTGATTGCTCCTCCCCCCGTAGGTTTTTTGTTTTTTTTTTTAAATTTAATCCTCTCCTGAGTTCTCCAGTCACCACAGAGGACTTAAAGCCATAAGAATGTTTTGTAATCCCAGCTTTCTGAAACCTAACAGAGAGATTTTGTCATGTGAAAACAAGGGAAAGATTAGTACAGAATTTGGTTCTCACAGCAGCAGAAAGGAACCAGCTAGGCCAGAAACGTCACCGAGAATTAATTCAAGTGCCAACATGCATATGCCCCACAACCTTTTTCAAGACTCTAAATGTGACGTACAGTCCTGGTTAGGAAAGATCAGTCTTTAAAGGAGTTTGCTTCAGGGACATGACATTATTAAACAGATCTGTTAAATGAGAGATCCCTGTACATTTTAAGAATTTCGTCCTTAACCCTATCTTAATCCTTCTAAATGGATTCTCTTAGAAATGAGACATAAAGGCAGCTAAACACACTGTTCTCTCTAGGCTGATGTTGTTCGTGGTACCAGGCCCATCTCCTCTATTTTATTGTCCTTTTCTGCGGGGGTGTCTTTCCAGAGTGGCAAAACAACTCTTCTTTTGCATAACTTTCACCCAAGGTTATACAAATAATGATAACATTAAGTATGTAATAATTACAGTTAGTATACATGCACAGTTGAGTGAGAGGCTTTATGTGAAAATACTTTTAAAGCCATAAAGGTATACACATTCCAAAAGCATTATTTAAAAGTTGTTTCTATGTGTCAGGACACTTGGCAGTAATTATATTCCTGTTAGATCTTACAGAGAGGCAAGCCATTCTCATTTCCACACCAAAGACTTTTTACTTCTTAACGATGGTATTTCTGAAGTATTTCCTGAATCTGACCTAGCCTTTATCTTACCTCCCCACCAGACTTAAAATCCATAAGGAAAGGCACTCTGCTCTGGTTGGTGTGGCTCAGTGGATTGAGCACCAACCTGTGAACCGAAGGGTCGCTGGTTCGATTCTCAGTCAGGACACGTGCCTGGGTTCCAGGCCAGGTCCCCAGGTCGGGGTGTGCAGGAAGCAGCCAGTCAATGTTTCTCTCACACATGGATGTCTCTCTCCCTCTTTTTCCTTCCCTTCCCTGCTCTCTGAAAATAAATAAATAAAATCTTTTTAAAAATAATAAAAGAAAGGCACTGTGTTTACTTATGTATTGCTCTGTTCCCAATGCCTACCACATGGTGGGTAGGTAATCATTTTTGTTAAATGAATGAACCTCATTTCCTAATTGGCTTTGTCTTCAGTGTCCTTCTAGTCTACTCCATAATGAATCAGCATTATCTTCAGAAATACAGTTCTGCCTGTGTCCTGTCCACGCTCATAAAACCTTGAAGGACTCTATCATCTACAGAAGAAAGGATAACCCCCTGAATATCACCTTCAAGATCCTTCACAGTCTGGTTCCAACCACCTTTCTAGGTCTGTCTTCCAGCCCTTATCGCCCCTCCTCCCCAAACCACTTAATGATTCCCAACGCATTCTGCAGTTTCACATTCCCCAGCCTTCACTTAGGCCGTCCCCTCTGCCTGGGATGACCTTCCTTTTGTTGCCTTTATTCTCCTGAGAGAGTTTTACTTCTTCAATATGCAGCTCAAACAGCGCCTTCTGTAGGCCTTATCCACTGCCCTAAAGGATCTGCACTGGTGATTCTCCACAACCTAGCATGTCGTTCCCATTATATTATGGTGGGTTTCCTTCTCTTTTATTGTTGTTGCAAATTCCTTAAGAGCAGGGACTGAGTCTGACTGAAATTCTTTAAATATCTCCAAATCTGATCACTTCCTACCACCCCCCTGACTGTCACTGTAGTCCAAGCCATCATTCTCTCTCACGTGGTCCTTGTGACGTCACCTGACCGGCTCCATATTGCCACACTGCCATCCAGCAGTGGGCTTCCTGCAAAGCAGCCAATGATCCTTTAACAATGTAAACAACCATATGCCGCTCCTCTACCACAAACCTGCCAGTGGCTTCCCTTCAGACTGGGGAAGAAGCAAAGCCGTTGGTTCTCTGGCCCCTCTTCCCCCTCGCTCACTGCAGCCTCACTTGTCTCTTTGCTTCTCCTCAAATATGCCAGGATGTCCCTCTCAGGACTTTGGAACTGTCCCCCTTCCATCGGGAAAGCTCTCCCCCCAGAAATGTGCTTGGCTTGCTCCCTTCGTCTGTCCTTCCGTCCTGGTCTCTGCTCAAATGCCCCCTTCTCGGGAAAGGCCCTCCCGAGTCACTGTCTAAAATAGCACTCTCCATGGATCCCTTCTCTCTTACCTGCTTTATTTCTCCTCACAGCACTAAACACCACCAGTTTGTCGCCACTAATTTTCCATGCATTTATATAGTTGTGTATTTGTTGCTGAGGATGGAGACTATTTTGTCAGTATCATGTCCCTGGTAACTAGGACAGTCCCTGACAAATAACAGTCACTCAAGTATTTGTTGAATGAATGGATAAGTCTTTGTATCCCCAGGATCTAACACAGTGCCTAGTTCTAGAAATATTTGTTAAGTGAATGACCAAATTAAACACATTCCACACATGAAATGGAATCTTGGCACATATCCAGGATTATCCAGGATCTGTGTGTACGTGCGTCGCCCATTTGCTCTGTGAACATACTCTTGATTTATTTTCTCTCATTTCATAGGTGATATAACCAGGTTCTTAATTTTTTCAGGAACTAGTTGCTGACAGAGGTCTTGCCCCAGAATATTTAGGGAATTTCAGTAAGATAACCTCTATGGCACAGCAGGGATTTGCAGTACCCTTCAGCCCATTGCCTCTCAGCAGCTCCTGAGGGAATCTGATAAGGGACTTTGTACATTTGTTGTTAATCCTGCTGAACACCAATTATTCTGAGGCTGGAACAAGTATGATTTACCCCAAGTTCTGAGAGGGTGGATCCTTTGGGATGTCCAACCCGCGGCCCTCGGCCGCATGTGGCCCGGAAAAGCTATGAATGCAGCCCACCACAAAATCATAAATTTACTTAAAACCTTTTTTTGCTCATCAGTTTTCATTAGTGTCTGTGTATTTACTGTTCGGCCCGAGACAACTCCTCTTCTTCCAGTGTGGCCCAGAGACGCCAAAAGGTTGGACACCCCACGCTTCCTATCTGAGCGGACATTGCAATGAGGCTGCAGGGCGGTGGCAGCCCAGCCTGCCTCATTATTTGTGCCATAGGCTCCTGAGTGGCTCTGAGGCGGCAGTTCAGCCCGGCAGTAGGTAAGCTGGGGAACAATCTGCACTTCTTCCCCTGTTCACTTTGGCTTCTGGGCAGTGGCTTTCCTTGCCCCTCCCGTTTTTCTGAATTCCTTGTTTCTAGGTATATAAAAGCAGACAGCTCAGAGGAGGGTGAACACTTGGCATGAGTGAAGTGTAGCATATTGGCTGTCAGTCCGCCTATCGTCCTACTGAGGCTGAATGGTGACCAGACTTGCCCTATTCTCGTGCGTGTGTGGCATCAAGGCCAGACATGGGGCTAGGCCTTTTATGTGCGTAGTATCGTCATATGTTACCAAGAAGTTATGAGTATTATCTGCATTTTTGCAGAAGAGGTAAACAAGGTGGCTCAGAGAGGTTGATGACATTTGCCAAGTGACCCAGATGGTAAGTGGCAGAGCTGGAATTTGAGATTCGAACCAGTCCTGTGTGACTCTCTGGCTGCCTACCAAGAGCAAAAATTTCTCTAACATCTACAGGGGCATGAAGGTGAGGAGGCACAAGAGCTAAAGGGGCAGCAAATGGGTCTTACTTGAGACTTGATAATTGCCAGGCCCTGCAAATCCAGGTTAATCAGATGCCACCTGGCTTCTGTTCTGAGAACTGAAAATTCTGTGACTGATTTACCAGGGTCCTCCTAGTCCCACTCCACGGACGTGGGGCTGGATGGAGTGCTCACAGAGTGGATGGAGCCTGTCCTTCCAGCAGTTGTCCTTGTACGTCATTCTGGCTCCTGTGATTATAAGTAGTGGTATCATTGACTGCCTTCATCCTCCTTGGGTCTTTAGTGTACTGCACCTCTCTCATCCTCAGGTTCAAAGTTGTACCCCCTGGGGAGTACACCCCGCCTGCATTTCTGGAGGTTCTGGGTTCCTTTGGGAGCCTCCAGGCTTATTAAGGGGTAGTTCCGGCAGTACCAAGAACTGGACATCTTTGGGGCTGTTCGCCAAACCCCTTCCCTTGCGCTCCCAGCTCCGGCGTCGCAGCGCCCCCTCAGCCACCAGGGGCCGCCCGGGGCTCCTTGCGCGTAGGGCGGGGAAAGGGGCGGGGCGCAGCAGTACCTGGGCCGCCCTGGAGCCGGGGGTGGGCTCTCCGGGGACAGCCTGCGGCCCCCCCAGATCCGCACTGCCAGGCGCCTGGGAGCTCAGGGCTCCGGGCGTAGAGGCTGCACTGTCACATGGGCGGAGGCGACGGGGCCGCATTTAAGCGGCCGGGGTACGGCTCCCGCCTCCAGCGTGTCCTCGGGCTTGGCTCCCGCCAGGCTCCCCGCTCTCTGCCCGCCCGGGGCCCCGCGCGCCGCACCGCGCCTCCCGCGCCAGGCCATGCGAACGCGGGCCCCGCCGCGATGAGCTCGCACATCGCCAAAAGCGAGTCCAAGACGTCGCTGCTGAAGGCGGCGGCGACGAGCGGGGGCAGCCGGGTTCCCCGCCACGGCCCTGCTCGGGAGCCTGGGCTGCCTAGCCGCCGGCTGCCCGGTACCTGCCCTGGCACGCCACCGCCGTCCGGGGACCCCAGTTCGCGGAGGCCCCTGTGCTGGCCCACGCCGCGAGAGGAGGGCGTGCGGGAGAGCCGGCGCGGGCTCCCCCAGGCGCACTGCAGGCCCCGGGAGGCGCTGCCGGCTGCGCTGTCCCGACCTTCGCCCCCGTCGCCGCTGCCGCTAGCCCGCGGGCGGGATGGGGAGGAACGGGGGCTGTCCCCGGAGCTCGGCCTCCGGTGCTCGCAGCGAGCCCCGGGTCGAGGGGTCTCGGCTCCAGCTGCCGCGTCGGAGGCAGACCCGTTCCTCCACCGGCTGCGCCCCATGCTCAGCTCCGCCTTCGGCCAGGTAAGGGCCGCGCCTCCCGTCCGCGCTCGCTGGAGAGGCGCTCGGGACCCTGCCGCGGCTGTGCATCCACGACCTTCCTCCTGCTGCCCGCGGCCCCCAGTCACGCTTTTCTAGTCCTCCCGCAGCTACGCGCCCTTGCCCGTGCTCCCCCTCCCCCGGTTCCTGATTCAGCACCCTGTGCGCTGTCCGCTCTCCGGGCCTCTTTTGGGTAAGGCACCGCTACACAGCCGCTCTCTACCTGCGAGAATGGGCCTGTTCTGGAAGGGATGACCTCCCCAAGCCGCCTGAAGATTCGCAGGGGTCAAGGAGGGGCGCTCTGATCAGGTGGCACCAAACCCACTTTTCTGGACTCTGGCCAAGACCACCAGTGAGCGGCTTAAGAGAGCAGTGGCTTTGGAGTCTTGGGGTCAAGAATGGGGGACCTCGGGGCACACAGCTTTGCTAGGGGATGATGCACCCTAGCCATTGCCTGTGGTGGCCACAAAGACCTGGAAAAGTTCGTAGAGCTAAAATATGAGAAGTGTCTGGGTAGGCATGGAGGGGCTGTACAGAGCTCTTGTTCACACTGGAACTTCGGGGTGTTTAAGGAGGGTATGGCTTCAGGGAAGCCATGAGGATGGCTTCCGGGCAGTTGTGACTCAGAGGATGGCGAATTATGTCCAGAGACTCCCAGCGTAAGTTGGTGTGCATTCTAAGGTAAGAGAGATCACTAAGGGGTCTCCAGTGGCTCCTTTGGTTTCCTCTAGGCCTTTCTCTCAAGGGTCCCAGGGAGCTGGACATCTGCCCTTTTCAAAAAGCCATCCAATTTGGGGGTATGCGGCTGGGGAGAGAGGCTCGGCAGAAAGGAGCCTGTGAACTCCTAAGCAAAGGCAGGATATCCTCCAGTTCTGAGCCCATAATTAAATCAAACTCACTGACACAGCGTTGATACAGTTCTGCTGCAGCCAAGGAGGGGTGTAATGCGGAGGTCTGAGCTGGTGTGCATGGTGTGTAGGGGAAGGGGGGAGGGGTACTGAGCCTTTCTGTGCTTCGATGTAGCGTAAAGAAGCCCTTTCAAGCTCCTGGCTTGCTGCACTAGCTCAGAATTCCAAGGAGGCCATGTGTGCTTTGCTTCAGATCTGCACATTCCTTTCCAAAATACTACTTCGCAGTGGCTGATGCTGGTGGAGGTCTGACATGAAGGCAGCTACACAGGGATTTGGGTTGCACAGGGTTGCTGTGGTTGTGTGACAGGCCACCAGTGTGTGGCTTTGTTCTTACGGGGAGCCCTCAGTAGCCGAGTTTGCTGGAAACTGTTCTCCAATGTAGAGATTTGGATGCAGAGCTGTGAGAGTTAGTGTGGCCACGTGTTGAGGGAGAAGTTCACTGCAGTGGCGTATGTAGTGGTGAGGAGGTGTAGGGTGTTAGGGCATTGCTCAGGCATGTGCTTGGCGTTAGGGAGACGACAGTGTGCGAGAGAGCTGGGGTTCTGGGTCTTTTGGAGCTTACAGTTCAGCAGCTTGGAAGGGTAGGTTATTGATCCAGAATCCCACACTTTCTCATTATTTTGTTTGCTGGTGATATGACTTCGTTCCTAGAAAAAGAGCCCTTTATTTCTGATCTTGCAGAATTTGCCTGCATGGGCCCTTTGTGAGCTCAGAGCATCTCAGCTACCTGCTTTCCTTCCTACTTCTACTTTCTCAGTCATTAAATGAAGAATACTCTCCAGCCCAATGTTCGGAAATGTCGCCAGAGTCATCTGAGTCGGCAAGAGCTGCAAGGTCCCATCAAATATTTACTACCTTCCTCTGGAAGATCTTGCCTCAGGAGCGGCAGAGTTTTTCTTTAAAGCTCTCTGGTGCACACAGTTTGGACTTCCTGCCAAAGGTTCTAAGGCATTTGCTCGAACAACAACAGCAACAGCAACAAAACCTGGCCTGGGACTTTTGCGTCAGCCTCCAGTCTCCTGCAACAGAGGGGGATAAGTCTCTTTCACTCCTTTTTGCATTGAGATTTCTGTCCTTAGAGACGGTTAGGACCAAGAAAAGGAAATGGGCTCCTGAATACAGAACCTTTCAGATAGGATCTGCTTAGGCAAAATATAACCCTGGAAGTATACTTGTCATGCCTCCCAAGCTCAGATTTTTTAACCTTAAGTGATCGCTTAACTTCATTGAACTTGTTTCTTTATTTGCAAAGTAGGGACAATCATAGTACCTCACCAGGTTTTGGGGAAATTAAATGGGATGAGGTTATATGAACAGCGCTTGGCCCAGTGTGTGGCCCAGATCAAAAGCTCTATCAATGTTAGCTATTGCTATTATTGCTGGTGTGGTTGATTAACTACCAAGGGCTGTGTCTGGCCATTTTCCTTATATTTGTAATAGAGTCAGGGAGAGCCAGGGTTCCCAGTGGCACTGAAGGTACCAAGATAGACCTACGTTAGGGGAGCAGGAATTGGGGTTCTTCCCATGCCCTCAGAGAACATCCTTACTGCCTACAGGGAGACAGCGTGGTTTTCAGGCTAATGCTTGGGGGAGAATAGGGCTGCAGGTACCAGTCTCAGCTCTGTCGTTGCCTGTTGCTGTGACTTTGGGCCTCTTATTTTCTGTTTTGGTCTATGTTCATCCAGAAACGAGATTGACAAAAACTATCTTGCAGAGTTATTACAAAGCTTGTACAAGATGAAGTATGTCAAATGGCCTGGCTCAGAGTGGGTGCTGGAAAGAGGGCAGCCTTCATCAACATTATTATTATTAGTTATAGAGTGATTGTCTGGATGAGGGCCTGTACTTTGAAAGCTGTCTCTGAGCCAGGTGAGGAAGGCCACTAAAGGAAGGAGCTGAATGACAAAGGGCCTTTCCTAGTACCCTCTTTGTGACTAGCTATGGACATGTCACCCAGCTGCCAAGAGAGAAGATGTGGTATCAGAAATTAACTCAGAATGGGCATGGCTTGGGGCAACTCTTGGCATTGCATCTTGGAAAACTATTTTAAGAAGTCATTCTGTTCTATACCCTAAGTTTGGGAAGTAACACCCCTTGTAGAGGAGACAAATGTGAATAAAGCCCACAGTGCTGCTCTATTTATTTATTTATTTATTTTAGCTCTAGAGACATCTCTTTTAATTTGGGTAGGTTATTCCAGTTCCCAAACTGCTTTGCACATAGTAAGATCTCTATGATCCTCTGTCCTGATTAGTGATTCAGTGCAGTGAATGAATGATTGGTATCTCCAGCCTCTGGACTGCAGAGGTTTCTTAGCTCCTATAGTTTAGATGGGGGAGAGAGACCATGATGTTTTGGGTCCTAACAGGCTTAGCTGCACTAGGCCTGTGTTTCCAGGGTGAGGGCTGTGCATAGCATTCACTCCTGCCCGGCCAAGCTTCTCCCTGCTGCCCTCTGAGAGGGCTGGGAGCCCCGATTGCCTCTTCTCTGGGTCCTGGTAAAGGAGACAGAGAAGGGCAGTTTGTTGTTAACGTCAGTCATGGAAGGTCCCCCAGGGTGTCTGCATTTGGCTTTAGCTGCTTGGGGAAGCAGCAAGGGTACTTGAGACCTCAGTCTAGAGCCCAGTTAACAGTTGACAAAGTATCTTATTACCTTATCTTCACAGCAACCTGGAAAGGTTAGCACTATCTTCCTCCATTTTAGAGATGAGCAGAGAGACTCAAGAGAGGGGAAATGGCTTGTTCAAAGGTCACACATGACTGTGATATGATCTCCCTCTCTCTGAACAACCTGCTTGTGCCATGCCTACTGGTTTGGTGAGAAGTCACTGAAGTGTGTTTCGATTTGTCAAAAGCAACCACAAAGTACCTCTCAAGTGATGATGCAGCTTTCCCTGAGTGTCTTAGCTCTGGGCTGCCATCCAGGTTCACATGCTGATGATTGAACTGATCAGGCCCAGTGAAGGGCAGCCTCCTTCCTGATCAGGAGTAATGGGCAGCAGGGTTTATCCTTCTCATCCCTCTGACCCTATTCCGTCCCAGAACTCAAAGCCTGGCTTCCAGAGACCCTGGAGCGGCTGCTGCAGTGAATAGGGATGGGAGGTGAGGCTGTGCAGTGTTCTTTGCTCCTTTGAGAAGCTCCCACTGTCAGTCCTTTAAAAATTTTTCTAGTAAAGGTCAAGCCATCTGCCCTTCCCAGGTCACCAGTTACCCGTGTCACAGAATCATCAGTACCCCACCCCACCTGCTGAGCCAAAAAATAACTTAAGCAAGCTCTGCATTTGAATCCCTGAATCCCTTGCTGCCCTTAAAACTTAAGCTGGTATCAGCATCCTCTTCCCTAAAGAATGGTGGGTTTCTTCAAAGTATGTAACTTTTTTTTTTATTAACAAGATCAGGAATTTATTATTTTAGTCATTTTTTTTCAGGTGATAAAACAGGGCAGAAATAATACCTTACTTTGTGAAGCCTTTACTTAACAGTGTTTTTATATCGGTAGCTGTGGTTTTCACCACAACCCTCCAATATAGAAAGGTCAGATATCTCCATGTTGCAATTAAGGAAACTGGGATTCAGAGAAATCGACTCATTTATACAGACCATGTGGTTAGAAAATGGTAAACTGGGCCTCAAATCCAGCTCTTGGGACCCCATATTCTATGTTCTTATAATATGTTAGCATTTACTGAGTGTCTGCTATGTGCCAGGCTTCATGTTGAGGCGTGTCATTTATTATCTAATTTAATTGTCCACACTTTCCATTACAAACGAAAGCTCCGACCCATCTCCAAATGTCTACATCTAAAGTGAGCAACATTTTAAAGAGTGTGCCAGGGCAAAGTGCGTGCCTTTTCCATAGGAGACAGCTCTTCTGTCTCCTGTTTCCAAGGGCAAGGCATATCACAAGGTCGACAAGCAGGTGCTGTGTTTCGGGTGGCCTGCAGGGGGCAGGAGTCACCAGGTCTGCGTGTGTGCCCTGCTGAGTGAATGGAGGCTGCCCTTGGTCCTTTTAAGACCAATGCTGAGCAGGGGATGGGGTACCAGCTAGGTTCCTGGCACTGTGCCGAGCCCTTTG